CGCGATGACAACAATCCCCGCGGAACGCACCGCGCCCGAGGCTCGGCGAACCGCGCGCGCACGCCAGACACCGTCTCGCTGACCCGCCAAACAGCCAGGAGCCAGGCCAGCCGAGGCTGTTAGGTCCTCTGCACCGAAGCGAAACCAGATCCCGAGAGGATGGATGAGCAGCTTTCCCCATCGCCTGGCCTGCCTGTGGGGACATCACTGGGAACCCAGGTCCTCGCCCTTCTCCAGATTCTGTGATAATAAGAGCCGCTGTGCTTCCCCAAGAACCCGGCAGTTCATCATACCTGGCCCCCTGCCTTCTGGCGTTGTCCGTCCTTGTCATCCAACCTGTTTATTTCGGCAAAGGAGAACGTCTCCTATTAAAAATGAAGATTATACACACAGAAAATTTATGAGAAGGATTTTTTTTTTAATCCAGAAGAGAATAGAAATGACCTCTATCCATCCAGAAGTAACCTCTGGCAACATTTTGGTGTCTTTGCTTCAGTGCATAGATAAGTATTTTTAATGGAATACCCTATGTAATATTTCGGAACCTACTTTATTTTAGCTTAATATTTTGCAAGAGCTTCCACATCATTAAAAAAAAAATCCAACAGCATCGTTTTGATGACTGCATAATATTCCACAGCACAGTTGTACCATAAATTAAAACCAATCAGATAGTTTCAGGAAGGATTAGTCTATGGTTACTAATCTAGATAGTGTTAATACCAAGTTGTTTCTTTTATTATTGTTACTATTACAAACAGTGCTGTGATTGTTACGATGAACTTCCTGTAGATAAAACTTTGCCCTAATATGGCATCTTTTCTTAGAATGAATACCTAGAGGAAATTGTACCAGGTCAAAGGGAATTAACCGTTTTGTTAAATATTGCCAAAATTACCTCCATTGAGGCAGCCTCAATCTACACTCCCACCTGCAGTGTATTAAGTGCCTCTCTTTTGCCAGGGCAAACTGTTATCAGACCTGTCCATCTTTGTCCATTCAGGGGCTTCAAAAGAATGGCATCACAGTGACACTTGAATTTGCCCTTGGAAGTGGCTGTACCAATTGACGGTCACACTAGTTATGTGTAAGTACCTTTCCCCCCAAGCCCCCACCAAGCTAATTTTTTAATTAGGAAAATTTTAAACATACAAAATAAGTACAGAAAATAAAAGAATCAAACACATTTGTATGCAATAGATTCTTTTTTTTTTTGAGTGAAGATAGATTTATTCAGAGAGATACATTGAAAGGCAAGAGAAAGGCCACGAGGTGTGGGGCTTGGGTGCTCAATAGATTCTTAAGCATCTGTCCCTTGCTAGATCCCATACCTGGACATTTAAGCTTCCTTCCAATTTTTCATGGTTATAACCAATGGTGTGGAGCTGGGGATGTTCAAACCTCCTAGCCCAGCAATCCCACCCCTTTCTTAAATATTGCCATTCTGTTCTCCAGAATGTGTGCCAATCTAATGAGTATGTAATATTAGTTCCTTTTTATTTAATTTATGTGATGTTTGATTACTAGGAGGGAGGAACATCCTTTCTTATGTTTCTAAGTCACTTGGTGTCTTCATTGTCATTGGGCCTTTTCCATTGGAGATGTTTATAAATTCTGGGCCAAATCCTTTCTCGGTTAAGTATGTGCCAAAGAGCTTCTCCAAGTCTAAGTTTCATATTTTTCACTTTATGGTACTTTAAATGTGTAAAAGGATCTTTTTTTTAATATTTTAATGTAGTCAGATTTATTGCAGTTTTTTTTGTTGTTGTTGTTCATGGTTTGTGCTTCTGGTCTTGCGGTTAAGAAATCTTTTACTACCCTGAGATCATAAAAACATTTTCTTTCATTTTCATCCAAACTTTTAAAGTCATGCTTACTCAGATGTAGGTCTTTAATCCATTTGAATATGGTTTGATGTAGGGATCTGGTTTATTTTTTCCATATGGATAACCAGTTGTTCCAGCGCTCTTGCTTAAAGTCCTTATTTCCCCACTGATTTGAAATCACATCTCTGTTAGATACAAACTTCCATATGTGTATGGACCTGTTTCTGGGCTCTATTCTGTCTCTCCCTGTGCTGATATCACTTCCTTATTGCTTAATTGAACTAGTTTTAAGTCTTGCTGTGATGAAGGAGTGAGTGAGCCCCTGATATGTTGATCTGCCTCATCAAAACTGTCCTGGCATTCTTGTTTCTTTGCTCTTATACATATTAGAATCAACCTGTGAGCCTCAAAAAACTTCATTTGAATTTTAATAGGAACACATTCAATTCATAAATTTCAGAAAATTAACACCTTTAGAAATTGATTCTACAAATCCATCAATACTGAGTATCTTTCTATGTATTTAGGTCTTCAGGAATTTTTTTAAATTTCATACATAAACGTTTTCTACACCTTATGTTAGATTTATTACTAGGGACCTTTATATTTTGGGTTGCTATTTTCAGATGTATATTTTCTAAACGAAGTTCTTCTCATTACTCAAGGACAGTGAATAAAAATGTACTTTTGTATAGCCAGCCATCTTGCTGAACTTTATTAATGTTAACAATTTGTTCTTAGACTCTCCGTTAAAACACTTTTATAGTCATAAATTATTTAGAGGGATCCCCCCCAAAATTCCAAGTATGTGGTTTGCTTTGAATTGTTGCTGCTAATGTCTAGCAGTTGGGTATGCTCAAAATGTGGTCTATATGATTCTTTGCTGCTTACCAGGAAATGCTTTGTGACCTAATATGCGGTCTTTTGGTAAATGTGTCATGGGTTTGGGGGAAGAATGTTCATTTGCCACATGGGTTGCTGATCAGCCTTGCTCAGTGTGTTATTCAACTCTATACCCTTACTCTTTGTCACATAAACTGTCAGTTATCAAAAGAGATGTGTCCAAAAATTCCCCTGTAACTAAGAAATTGCTCATTTATCTTTGAAATTGTATCAATCTATTGCCTCATGTAACTTGATGCTATGTTTAGGTGCCTGCAAGTTATGATCTCTTCCCAGTGCATTTGTTCCTTCTTCCTCTTTCTTTAGTAATCATTTTCCCTGTAACATTCCTTTTTAACTTCAAAGACAATCTTGTTTACTCTTATTATAACCACATCACTTTCTTTGGGCTAATATTTTGCCAGTATTTTCTATATTTTTACATTCAATATTTCTTTGTATGTTCTATTTTTTTAAGTATATCATTAGATTTTTCTAATCCAACTGACTACTGACTGTCTTTTGAAGTGAGTTTGATTTTACTTTTTTTTTCTGAGTTCTGCTATTTTGAGTTTATTTCAGGCATCTTGTTCCATGCTTCAATCTTAACTTGATTTTCCTCTGCTTCTTTATTCTCTCTTACATCTATTTTATATTGATGACTCTTTTTATATTCAGTAGTGTTCTCTGCTAGTTTGAAAGCTATACAATTTCTCATCTTAAGTAATTAACCTTTATACAGCTTTAAATTTAAATTTTTCCCCCTGTGCTATACAGTACGTCATTGTTGTTTATCTATTTCATGTGTAGTAGAGTGTATCTGCTAATCCCAAACTCCTAAATTGTCCCTTCCCCCTTTCCCCTTTAGTAACTATAAATTTGTTTTCTATGTCTGCGATCCTGTTTCTGTGCTGTAAATAAGTTCATTTGTACTATTTGTTAGATTCCACATAGAAGTGGTATCGGATAGAATTTGCCTTTGTCTTCCTTACTTCACTTAGTGTGATCATCTCCCGGACCATCCATGTTGCTGCAAATGGCATTATTTCATTCTTGTTTTATGGCTAAGTCATATTCTGCTGAATACGGAAATCAAAGCCACTTTATCCAATCATCTCTCGATGGACGTTTAGTTTGCTTTCATGTCTTGGCTCTTGTAAACGTTACCCAACTTTTAATAAGCACAGTCTATCTAATAAAGTCTAAAGTTAATTAGTAATCAACACCCTTCTCCCCAAAATGCCTGACTGCCTGACTTCCGCTCATCCCCTGCCCTGCTTACACAGTACTGTAACCTAGACCTTCATTCCACCTTTCTACTCCTCAATTAATCCTTTTTATATGATAAATATTTGTTCACATTTAACAAGTATCATGCATCCCACTGCTTCTTCTTAGGGTCAGTGTCTTCTGAAGTATAATCTTGTGTAATTCTTTCAGCAAAGATCTGTTAATGGTAAATCTTTGTTTTCATTGTCTGAAAACGTTTGTTTTGCCTATATTCCTAAATGATAATTTAGTTACAAGTAGATGGCTGTTTTCTCTTAACACTTTGAATATATGATTCCATGCTATTCCACCGTTGCTGTTGCCAAGTTCTGGACAATCTGATACTCATTCTTCTGTAGGCAACCCATCTAATTATCTGCAAGTGCTTCTAAGCTTTTGTGTTTCTGCTTGGTCTTGTTTGGGGTATGCTGTGTTGTGCTGTGTTTAGTAGAGAATTTTGTGTTATTTAACCTGCTGAAGTTCATAGCTTTCATCAGGTTCTGGAAAATTCTCACTTATTCTCTTGGAATATTCCCTCACCTCCATTCTCTCTGCTTGTTTCCTTCCTTATGTTTGTTTCAACCAGGTGCCCCCAAAAGCAGTAGTAGCCTATGACAGCATTTTATGTTTATCTCTTGGAGGGGTATGTCCTGGACCACACTAATAATTTAAATTTAAATAGCACATCCTTGTGAGGGCGATGATAAATTTTAAGGGGAGGCTTTTGTTTAAAAAACAACAGCAACAAACAACAATAAAAAGCAAGCTTCCTTGTCATTTCTCCGGGTGAGAAGGCAACTGTTTTCAGTTCATCCTTACACTGGGGGGTGGGAGGGTGCTCTCAGTTCCAACTTTCTACTCTCCTCGGGCTCAGGCTTCCTCTTGTGGGCCTGCTGGGTATTAAAGTCTAAGCTCCTTACTCCCCAGTCAGTCCTGAAGCCCAAACAACCGCTCTTTCCCACCTGCACCCCCTCCGTCCTCCTCCCCCTTCCCAGCCCAGAAGCCCCAGGTCAGCTCACGAGGCTTATGGCAGTTCTTCCAGATTGCCTGTAATCTCTTACAGGCAGGGCTAGGCACGAGCTAGGCTTATTCATTATTTCTAGAAAGTTGCCAAAGGTTGGGGGGGGTGTGTGCTGTATTACACAGAAAACTGTATTCCTGAAAATAGAACTGCCCAACCTATTATTTAAGAGTCTTAAAGTGTGACTTCACAGAAACTCCCTCTTAACCCACTGAATTACCCACGTGGGTTTTCACCTTACCAGATTCTTCCCCATCTTCTAGATAGCCCCTCATACTGAGGTATGAACACACTTCTGAGAAGGCCACGCCTTAGGAACTGCTCTCAAGCAGCACAGGCCACGTTACTGTAACAGTGAGTCTTGGACGTGGCAGTGGATGGGACAGCAACACTCCAAGTCCCACCTTGGGGTCTTCCTTCAACAAGTGAGACGAGCTCATAGATGGGCTGGAAGGAGAAAAGAAAAACGAACACGAGGAAGTGCGTGTTATCTTTCTGAAACCACTAGCTGTCACCTTCACGTGTTTACAAAGAGAAAAACCCGAAATCATCAGAAGGCGCTGTGGTTACCCGTGCTCACTGCCGCGGCGGGCAGGCGCTCACCGTGGGCCGAAAACAGAGACAACCGAGGCGCTCCCACTTCTGCTGACCCTCAGGCCCTCCCTTCTCAGGCAGCTTCACCGGGACTGAGGCTTTGCGGTCTCACGTCTCTGAGAGAACTTGCCAGCGCCGTGCCCTCACGCTGGGACTCAGACCCTGGAGAACCTGGGAGGGGTTTGGAGGCCGGGGAGGAGAAAGCACGAGGATTTACCCCAGTTCTCTTCACCTACCCCCTGGGCAGGGCTTTCTGGGGGACGGGCACGGAAGGGAGGAAGTTTTAGTGCACTCTTAAACATCACTAAGCAGCATGTAAGTTGCGCGTAGGAAAAGACTGTTCTCAAGAAGGGTCTGTGGGAGGACACTCTTTCTCCAAGGGGACCTCGCTTTGTCTCTCAACACGACACAATTTCTGTCCCCAGGGCCACGGTTGGGGGTGAGGGGTGTGCCATGCGGAGGCTGAGGGTGGTTCTACCAGGAGCGGAGGGGCTAGTGAGGACAGGATTCAGAGAAGGGGGAGGCTGGACCAGGAGAAAAGGGAAGAGGGAGTAAAACATGCCTTTGAGGGCAAGTCCTGCAGGATGGGCCAGTGAACACACTTCTGATGAAACGCTGAGCACATCACAAATATGCAAAAGCGGTTCATGATTGACAAGGAGGAGCTCATCCGATGACTGCTGCTGGCTGTCAGGGCGCAGAGCCCATGGTGGCTGGGCTGGGCACCCCTCTCTCCACCCAGACTCTTGCCTCTTGGGTTGACCCACGTGACAGAGGAGGAAGTCCTATAAAAAAAGAATGGCGGGGTTCCTCCTTTGCCCCCAGGGTGCCTCGTGAACCTCCTTTCCAGAGAAGGGTTTTTGGATGAAAAGAATGCACTTGAGCTAATCTTGCCAACAAATCTACCACAGTCTAGCCCTGCCAAGAGTCAAGGTTTGTGGCCAAGCACCTCATGACCCACAAACAGCCCTGTGAGGAGAGCTCTTATCAGCTGGCCACAGGATTTGGGAGGCCCCCCTCCCACAGCCCCGCCCTCAAGCCGATAGAACCTTCAAATACACTTTCCACCACTCAAGCTGCTCCCAGGGGCTTTGAGAACCACCGAGAGGCTGAGAGGGAAACCCAGAGCGTGGCTGTGTAAATTATGTTTTTTAATAAAATTCCCCCATTAGGTTTTTCCCTTTGGGCTACTTCTTAGTCACTGTACTTTCCAGTGATGTGCTCATTTGTTCACTTAATGAACACAATAAATAGAAAGGACTCTTATTTCTGTACTTTTCTGGCTTGCCAGCTTTTTTTCCTCTGAGAAACTAGAAGCATTTAGAGATGCTGTTGCACATCTGTGAGGGAGGAAGGGGGCAGATGACACGATTTCCCATGGGGAACGTGAAGAAACCACACCACATAGGATGACTTCCTGGTGTTATAGTAACAGCTACTCTGGAGTGCCCTGCTCACAGCTCCTGATAATCAATTTGACCATGTGAGAAGGGAGGCAATTGGGAGTAGTGGGGTCCACGGCAAAGTGAACAGCCACGGCCCATCTAAAAGGAACAGCCAGTTGTTGCTAATGTGAAAATGTTAACCCAGTCTTGCCAAATCTTTCTGGTTTTTTTCCCCAGAGAAGCTGAGAATTTAGATATTTATATGAAATCTCTTGAATGCTGCAAACCATTAATTTTCATTTAAAACACTACACAAGACAAACTGAACACATCCGTGGCTGTCATTTATGTCAGAGGATACAACATTTGGTGGTAGCAGCCTTGTCTGGAATCTTGCAGAGAGGATCCTTGATGGCCTGGGTCAGCATGAGGGACTGGTTGCCTCACAGGAAGCTGGAAGACGGATTTCAGTTGAGAGAGAAAAAGATCATGCTGAAAGGAGAGAGACTTAACAGTCGGATGCCAGTGACAAAGTTCTCCATCGCCATTTGGCTCCAGGCCCTTCCCATCACAGCTTAATTGGAGTCACGTAAGTGTTACAGAACGATTCATTAATATTTTTCTTCTTTGGGGGTATGACATCCACAATAACCAGGCAAGTCATAAAGCATCTGTCTTAGCCATTTACATGCTTAACTGTCTGGATGATGCTTGAGAAGGTCTGAAGAGCTCCCAACTGCACCGGCGGCAGCACAACAGGAATGGTCTTGGCGTGGAATAGGGGGGCGAGGAAGCAGGCCAAGAAATGCTCGTGGGGACCACACAAGCTCACTCACCACCCCAGACACGGACCCACTCTCAAGCTGTCTGTTGGCAGAATTCTGCTCTTCAGAACAGAGAGCAGGAGGTGGGCATCCTGTCCAGTGTGACTAAAAGCTATGAACACCAGCACCTTCTCTTTTTCCCAAAATGGCATTTAGCTGGAGACACAGTAGAGCTCTCAGGAGGTCCTACAACAGCCTTTCAGGTGTTGATTTTCTAGTATCGGGTCCTGGTGTTCACTCCCCTCTGCTCTGCATATGCACGAATCATTCTCCCAGAGATGAGTCATTTGTAAGATGATGGTATTTGTTTAACACCAGATGTTGCTTGCTTTTCCTCACTTCTTAGCTGTCTGTAGCCCTGGGGATGGTTACATAAATGATGGTTTTGAGGAAGGCCAGGAGAGGTCTCCCCCACCCGAACAGATCTGTGAGCAGCTGCCCGAGGAGGAGCTGAGTTAGCAGAGTGCTCATCTCTAAGCGCGATGCCAACGGGGGTGCTTCGTGCACAGAAGCATCTGAGCATCTTTAAGGGTTTCATTTTCTAGAACAGATACCAACAGTGCCTGGGAAAGGACATTCCACTAGGACCTGAAAGACAAAGAAAGTAACATCTACTGAGGGGTACTCACCACACACACACGTCACACCGCTGAATCCTTACGATAATTCTGATGGGTGATATTCAGGTGTCTACTTCTACACCTGAGGGAATCAATACCCACACAGGCCTGACCCAAGAAACTGGTGTAGATAATCACATGACTTGGACTTTCCAGATTTTGAATTCTCTGTTCCACAATCGCCGGCTGGGACTACAGAATCTGTGCTCACTCTGTTGTTTGGCTGGAAGGAGCCCAGTGGCCCAAAGCCTTGCTGCCTACAAAAAGTACTCTATAAATGCTATATACATATATAGAACTGAATCACTATGCTGTACACCAGAAATTAACACAACATTGTGAACCAACTACACTTCAATTAAAAAAAAACAAACAAGAAATGCTAACCATTAAGGGAAAAAATAATAGAGTTGGCTATGTTAAAATTAAAAACATTCATGTATCAAAAGATACCATAAAGAAAGCAAAAGATGAATCGGGAGAGTAGGAAAAGATCTTTGCACCACGTGTAACTTTATAAAGGCCTAGGATCCTGAATGCATACAGAACTCCCACCGCGCAGAAGAGTTCACGAAACAGGCCTGAGACTGCCTGTCCTTAGAAAGGCCTGCTGGCAAGGTTCACTTTTGCCTGGAGTCTGGGAACGTGGCTAATCAACAGTTCCCTACACTCAGATAACATTTTCCCCAAGTGACAGGAGTGGCTTTTTGCAGTGGTGAAAATGTTCTGGAATCAGTGGTGATGGCTGCAGAATTTTGTGAATATACTAAAACCCACTGAACTGTACACTCTAAATGGTGAATTTTATGGTGTGCAAATTATATCTTAATTTTAAAACACAATACTTAGAATATCAACCCAGATATATATGTATATGTATCTAGAAGGAAATAGACCAAACTGTGGGGAAAAAAAACTTACTCTATAAATAAATATCCTCTATGTCGCACAAGCGAGCATCAAGCCAAAAGGGAAGAGAAAACTCAGATTTGCTTGTGGTCGTTCATTTACGTAGTAGAGAGGCAAACAAGCTAAAGAAAGCTCCTGAAAAACACACAGTAACTTACCCGAGAGCAAAATCCTGTGACGTCACTAAATTAAAGGGTAACTTTCTTATGTCTCGTGGCTAACAGAAGAGATCTTGCCTAAAGATTTAAACACGATGGGACAGTCAAAGGTCTACTGTTCCCAAGACTGGCTTGTCTGGGGACTTGAGTCCAAAAAGCCCACCTGTAAAAGGGGGTCTGCACGTGGAGCTGGGTGTCGTAGACAGACAGAGCTTTCCAAAAGCTGTGGGAGGCGTGAGATCTGGGGGAGCCTTTATTCATCACAGAGCACCCCCACTGATCTGCGTATTTTAACAAACTGATGTTTGGGGTTTGAAACCTGTTCTCTGTGTGATGAGACTCTTCTCTCTCGCCCAGGACCTCAGGTTACTGAGCAAGCTGCTGCTCGAGTGTCTGAGTGAGAACAACGACAACATTGGGTTTGTGGATTGGAACGTACACGTGTGTGGGAGTGGGGGGGGGGGTCTCTCCAGGATCTGAGGTATCTTGTTCGGATGCGGATTCAGGGTTGGTGACGCTCAAGCACCACTTCTTTCTGAGCAAAGGAAGCTGTGCGAATGGGTGAGGGTGGAGGTGTCTGGAACCTCCCATCCCAACCCTTCCCCCTCTCTACCCAAGTCCAGGCTCCATCTGTCAATCTTGGAACCCAGTCCCATTGGCAAATTACAGCCCAAGGGTAAGAGCTGATAGGCCCTTGCCTCTTCTCCACATAGGACCTCCTGAGACACAGCATGGAAGCAGAGATGCGTTTTTCTTACCTGTTCTTTCCTGTCCATGTGAGCATGAGTCAGTGGGCTCCAAGTCCAGTGTGCACCTTTCTTCTGCCTCTGTGCCAATGTCTGAATTACTAGACATGACTGAAAATAACAGGGATCTGAATCTTACTGCTTACGTCTTAACTGGCTGTAGGCCATAATCTCTCATTCTTAACGAAGACTCAGATCTGACAGTCCACATCTCCCACTTGTCACCTCATACGTGGACCCCATCCTAAGTCCATTAATTACTCCTGTTCCCCCAAAGGCTAACATTATCAACTTTTCCCTCATGGAGGCCTGGGCCCTTCCTGCCAACAGGTTTCAGTCACGGTCAGCCTCAGCTGCATGGCCAAAGCCACAATGGGATCACCCATTCAACCAGGGCTCATTACAGCTTTGGTCCTCTGAAGGTGGCCCAGGTCCAGTTCACCTGGCTGGGACACATCATCGTCTAGGATCTAATCTCAGATGTGTGAGGATTCTCAAGACGTCTGGATAATGTAGGATCATTGAAGGTGAAGGATGGTTTTTAACACATAAGAGATCTTTTAGAAAGAGCCATGGCTTTGACTTTGGAGTCAGGGTAGGCTGTTCAGGGTAACTGACTGTTTGAGAGTCACCCTCTTGCATTCCTGTGTGACAACAAGGAACCTCTCCATTCACCTGGCCTCCACTGCAGAGGAATGCCAGGACCTTTCCTATGGTGCAACTCATGCCAGCCCTGCAGAAAGAGTCCCACTTGACTCTCTAAGATCTCCCTAAAGGCTTTCAAGTTGCCTTTGAGTTTTAAGGAATGTCAGGCTATACAAACTTTAAGAGAAATCTCTTAGGCAAACCTCTTAGACTCAGTCTTCACAGCTTAATCCAACCCCAGAAGGTTGCCAGGGGAACAGGCTGAAAAGGAGCAAGAGGAGACTCCTAGGGTAGATGGGGACCTGAACTTCTTAGTGCTAAAATTCTGCGGGTCCATGAGGACTGTTTAATTGAGATCCTACCCACTCCCCACTCTCTTTTGTGGGCACCTCCAACCTCCCAGCCACCGCCCTTTACTCACGAAGATCTTAGGATCTGGCTCACTGTGTCTGTCCCTATCATCACAATCACAAAGACAACCTACCTACATTCTGCCCTTCAGATTTTTTAAATCTTTATTGACATCTTTTCTTCTAGTCCATCTTATCCCCCCGCTCCCAGGACCATGAACTCCCCTTTCAAAGATGCCAACATTTCTTAAACCCTTTCAGGATCTTAATCCACTGTCACCACCACCTTCCTCACATCTAGCCCTCTTGCCCACTGTCCTCATGTCTCTCCTTACCCAGCTTGGATCCCTGGCCCTTCCTTCTGCTCACTTGCATTCACATTCCCTCTACTACTTAACCCCTCTCTCTGTTTGTCATGTTTGTTTGGCTAAATCCCAACTCTGTTGAAACTCACCTCCTTGTCTACTTAGCTCCCAAACTCAAGCCATTGTGTGAGGCCAGAGAGAAACATGTGACCAGCAGACGGGTCTTGCTTTCTATTTACAACCACAAACCTCAAGTGGGCCCTTAGCGTTGTCCGAGTGATTCCCTCTTCTTCTGCCCTCTCTCCACACTTGGCCGATGACCTTGGTTCTTATTTCACTGGAAAATTAAGTCAGAAGAGCATTCTTCTCACCAACAAATCTATCAGCTTCCACATCTGGATTCTCTGGCTCCTTTCAGAATTCTCCACTTGTGCCTAATCGAGGGCATCACTATTGCCGCCTCTCTCCTGACTCATCTCTCTACTTGGTCATTTCCCTCACCCTACAAATACTCTGTAAGAACTCCTCTTGTTTAAAAACAATCTTCTATGAAAGAGGAATGGTCCCACAAGATATTAATACGTACTGTGAAACCTCTGTAATCCAAACAGTGTGGTATCAAAGCTTGAAAAGACCAACAGATCAGTGGAATGAAATGGGAAGTCAACCAGGAGGCCCAAATACTTAAAGAAATCTAGGTTATGATGAAGGTGATGCCCTGAAATCACTGGGGCTTCCTGGTGTTGGGCCAATTGCATACTCATTTAAAAGTTAATTTAGATCTATTTCTTGCACTAGATACAAGAAGAATTGCCAAACGAATCAAAGATCTAGATGCAAAATGAAACTGCATAAATACTAGGAAGAAAACATGGATGGACTTTGATGTAATCTAAGTAGGAAAAGATTTTTTTCAATATGACTAAAACTCTATATGCTAGAATGGAGAAATTGGTAAATTTGACTACCAAAAAAAGCTTTCGCATTTTCAAAACACAAATGAAAACTGACAGAAAAATATTTGTAGCATAGCTCAGAAAGAACCCATATCTAATATTTTAAAAATTAAGAGAGACCAGAAATCCATTAGAAAAGAGGACAAAAGACATGAACAGACAGTTCATTAAAAGAAATATAAAACTGGTCCTTACACATGAAAATGTGTATTTCATTCAATAAAAATGCAAATTAAGTCCACATTGCTTTTTTTTACCCATCATTTTGGAAAACAATTTTTTTCCTCAAAACTTTAACAATACCCTCTGTTGGTGAGACTAGAGAAACAGGTCCTCAGGAACACTGCTGGTGGGCATGTGATATGGGACCTCCTCTATGGAGCGGAACTTGGCAATATCGAATAAAGCCATGTACGCATTTACCCTTCTCCCCAGCTATTTCTCGTCTAGAAACATATCCCAAATATGTACCTCCAGCAATATAAAAATACAGATACTCATTGCAGCATAATTTACAGTTGCAAAATACGGGAAACTACCTAAATGCCCAAGCACAGGAGATCAGTTGAATAAAATATGGCACATGCACATGCAATGAGTTTCTTAGACATTAAAAAAAAATATGAGGAAGGGCTCTGTGAATCGATACGGAATGATTTCCAGGAGCTACGTTTAAGTGAAACGACAAAGTGCAAAAGAGCATATATCATCTGCTATCTTTGGTAGAAGAAAGAAGGGAAATTATAAGCTTTGCTTGTATCTGCTTCTCTTTCCCAAAAGCAGCACTGGAAGAACAAACCGAAAAAGAAGGTAGTTGGTTTCCTACGGGGTGCACAGCGGGGTGCTTCTCTGAGCCTTCCTTTCTGTATGGTTTTGACTTTGGGTAACATTTCAGTGTTGTACATATCAAAAACAAAAATTAAACTGATAATAAAGTTTAATACCCAGTACCGCTCTGCCAGGCTGGCCACACCCTGACTTCCTCCCACGTGCTCAGCCCACGGGTGTTTTGAGTGAGGTGAGCGCGCGACACATTTCTGTGCCCTGCATTTCTCTGGCCTGAGGGGCCGGCCCAGAGGAGGGCGCCCAACACAGCCGGCGCCAGTGACACGCCGTATCTCTTTGGCTGCTGCCGTGCAGAGAGAGGCCGCCTTCCTCTTTTTCACTGCACTTGAATCCAGGAAGTTTTAGACCTGGAGTGCCCGGCATTCACCTTGAAAGGAAGCCAAAATTGAGGAGAGCGGAGCTGAGGGGTCCGAGACCAATTTACGGAAATACTGCTCAAAGCCCTGCTATTTTTATTTAATGACGTCAACCGTCATTTCAAGACTGTGCCTTTGCCTGCTTGAGTTGGGTTTTCTGTCACTGCGCTCAGAGTCTCCACAGATACACTGGCGGAGCCTGTCATTTTGCAGGTATGGACTCTAAGGCTCAATGAGGTGAAGAAAGAGGCCCAAAGTCACGCTGGGAGATTAGCGCAAAGGCGGTGCTAACACTCAGAGCGTCTGGGTCCAAATTCAGATGACAGGGTCAGTGTGGTAGGTGGCCTTCGCCCCAGGCTCACCTGAGGGAGAAATCTGAGAGACGGTCATATCCAAGGTGGAAGGGAAGGCCACAGGAGGAGAGCTCAGCGTCCTGCATCCCCAGCCTGAGGTGCTCCAGGCCACTTCTGCTGGCCCAGGCAGGCCCCCCCGCACACCTGCAGGCCGAGACAGGAGATGTTCCGAGGCCATTGTGCAAGGCCACCCAGGCTCCCACTGTGTTGGGAGAGCATCACTGGACAGCCCTGAACCTCATCAGCCCAGACAGACCTTTGGGGTCTGGTGGACACAGCGTTTATGAGAGCTGAATGAAGGCCCTTCATCCCAGGCACAAGCACATCAGGATGCGTGTCGAGAAACTCAGTGGCTGGGAAGTCACTCACTGTGGCAGCCAGACCCATGGACGTGGAGTTGAAAGATGTGGGTTCAGACCCTGGCTCTTCCGCTCCCCCGTGTGACCTTTTACACGGGAAAGGTGGATCAAAATGACACTCCAAGGAATCAAACTGACGCTTGGGAGGGGCCTCAGGGAGCCAGTCCTCCAACCAGTAGCCCACAGTCTGAACCCAGCTCACAGGCGGTTTTACTTGGCCAGCACAGAGTTTTGAAAATAAACCAGCCAGTGCTGAAAATCAGGGTATTTCATGTAAAAATCCAGATGTTTGCATTCTTTTGAAAATAATGGAGCAAGAGTTGGGGACACTGGCCAGAATTGTGACATATACACCCTCCTTTGTCCAGCCACGTGAGGCTCATCTGCCCTCCGGTTCCTGCCTCCCTCACCCCCTGCAACCCCCCGCCCTACAGCTGAATTGGGGTGGATGCCGGTAGCCACTCAGCGTCTCACTCTGCTATTTGTCTCGGGGCAGAGAACTCTTGCTCTGCACTGTGTGTCCTCCCAGGTGGGGAAGCAAAGGATTAGCAGAGAGGCCCCTGCCATTCTCACCCACCTCCCACGCTGCCCACCAGCTCCACTCATGATGTGATCTGCTTGGAGCCAGGAGGCGTCTGAATTTATGGGCATAACTGGAAATGCAAATGTCAACAGGAAGTTCATGGATTAAAGAGACAGAATGAGAATTAGGACTCAAGTTCAAGTTCTGTGGGTTGAGATACAAACTCTAGGCTATCCACTCAGATAGGGGGACTGGCAGGTGCACTTGTGGTGAGCTTGGGGGGCGTTGTGTTGGGGGTAGTCAGTGTAGGAACAGGGTCAAGGGCTGAGGGAAACAAGTTCAGAGGCAAGAAATCCAGCCTCTGGGAACCCGGCAGGGGAACCAGTGATGCTGACAGCCCAAGTCCGGGTCAGGGCCAGGTCTCCCAGTAGTGTGAACAGGTACAGCTGGCTGGGGGACAGGAAATCAGGCGGAACTTGACAAAGGCTGGGTGACATCCTGGTGGGTTCCCATGTGGAACCCACAAGAGGCCACCAGGTTTGGCCCCTTCTGGGGAAGTTCCCCTGAGTCTAGTTTTATCCTTTGACAGAGGAAATAAAAGTTCTCAGGAAATTTGGTGAGAGGTCTATTGAAGCTTAATTAAACCTTTGCTGCCAGTGTTGTTCATCTTGGAGCTAATTCAACACGGGGTCCTGGTTCTCAAACTCAGCTGATGTGAGGGTCTTAGAAGACAGAACGCCTCCTATAACCTAAGGTATAATCATAGACTATATGTAGGTTTTTAGCCCACAATTTGAAATTCAGTGCAGTGCTGAGCTGATGTAGATGATACACGTGCATTGGGGATATGGGTTCTGGATGTATACAATCATTCAGCAAACATTCATTAACTGAGTGCCTGGAGTTTATAATCCATTATGCTTAACACTATGGACCCCACAACCCTGGATGAGACACTGCTTTCACCCTGCAGCAAACTACCAGGCAGTCAGGTCAAGTACATGTCTGGGGATCTGGAAACCAATGAGATTCAAGGAGACCTGTGCACATCACCTGCTACTCCTCTGCAGTGGGGCCCAAGGCCAGATAATGTTGCCTTTCAATAAAGATTTCTTGGTCGGGGGAAGGTATAGCTCAGTGGTAGAGCTCGTGTTTAGCATGCACGAGGTCCTGGGGTCAATCCCCAGTACCTCCATTAAAAAAAAATAATAAATAAATAAATAAACCCAATTACTTTCCTCTCTGTCCCCCCAAAAAGGAAAAAAAAAATTCTAAAACAAAACAAAACAAAACTTTTCTTGGGAAGGGTTTCTTAACCAGACTTCCCTAGCTGGGAGCATCTGAGAAACTTTTCCCAGAGCTTCAGCCTGCAAGTGGCAATATACTGCTTGAAGCTAGCAGTATCTGTATACCACCGAACTAAATTTTAAAAAGAAAAAAAAAATCATCCAATTGTTTCCAAATAACAGGATGTTTTCGATGCTGTAAAAAAAAAAAGCTACTGATTATTTAAGACTGACTATGTGCTGGGATCTTTACATATATTTTCTCATTTAATCTGCCCAACAGCCCTGCAAGGTCGCTGGTACCGTCCCTGGCTGCACATGGAGGTTCAATAACATTTAGTTCCACTTGCATTACGTCTGAGAGTCCTAAGATCTGAATGCAGACTTTCAAAGTAGAATCTGGTTTATGTTTGAAGCCCAGTCTGTGGTCCAGGCATCTGTGGTCCCCCACACAATACGCTTCAGCACAGGGAGGCTGCCAGGGGTTGGCAACCAGGCTCCCTGGGGCGGCAACCTGACATCAATTAGCCATCCCAAGAACGTGGCCCCGAAACAGACCTCCAGCCTTTCACTCCTCCTCCATCACTTCCTACCAGAGACCAAAAGAAGAACTCGCAAAGGCCGTCATGGGTCTTGTCATGGGGCATTCTGACACTCGGCCACTGCTGGGGATTTTGGGAGGGGAAGTAACACTGACATCACAAACATAGAACCGAAAAATGCTTGAAGGGTTCATCTTCTGCAGGCACCTCTGTGAGACAAGACGCAGCTCTCTCCCTTGAAGAGTCAGAAACGGACGCTTCACCTCTTTCGGTAATTTCTGCCACTGTTTTAGCCCCCAAATAGAGAAGATTTTCTTCCAACTCAAGTTCTGATTTAACTTTGGTCATATATATATATATATATATATATATATATATATATATATATATATATTTTTAAGTCCAGAAAGATGAACTGGTTAGCATTAGTCCTGTCACAAACCTCTAAAATCTTAGAGATCATGTCTTTATGTCTTTTCATTTCAGGCCAGCACAATGATCTATACCTGTGTTCTTCACTTGGGGTCCTTATCTGTACTGTGTGCAGTTTTTCAGCTATTTCCTCAAATATGTGACTGCAGCAGATTGAATGATGGCTGCCCTCTCATCCCTCTTTCCCTGTTGTATAGAATTATATATCCATGACCTCTGCCATGTAACTTGTGGTCTCTCTCATGAGAATCAACGCAGTGTATTTCCTCGCCCCATTGATAATTGGCTAGGCCCCCAGGACTTGCTTTGGACAACAGAATGTTAGTGAAAATAATGTAGCAGAGGCTTTAAATGTGCTTGCCTGGTTCGAGTCGGTCTCTTGTGCCATAACCACGAGAAGTCCCTGCCCCAGGTGGTGCCAGTTCCAGACAGAGATCTAGGAAGCAGACCCAAAGTGGACTTGGAATTTGGAGCCATGCCCAGCTGAGTCCAACCAAGATCAACTGAATCTCAGCCACCCAACAGACCTGTAAGCAAGAAAATGAAATGCCTTTTTTCAAAATTATAGAATAGATAAACAAGATTACACTGTACAGCACAGGGAAATATACACAAGATCTTATGGTAGCTCACAGAGAAAAAAATGTGACAATGAATATATACGTTCATGTATAACTGAAAATTGTGCTCGACACTGGAATTTGACACAACATTGTAAAATGATTATAAGTCAATAAAAAAATGTTAAAAAAGAAAAAGAAAAAGAAAGTCTTTGATGCAAGTCACTGAGATCTGGAGGGAGTTGTTTGCTATACAGCATAACTGAATGTTGCAAGGTCTAATCCAAACTACAGCCAGGTTACCACCTGATCCTTGCATGGACCACCCTTCAAGACCACCTCGTTCATGAAAACTTCCCTGGTTAACTTCAGATCCTCTACACCTTGACCACTCCAGACCCTGCTTTTCTATGTCCTATATTTTGGCACTTGTTTATATTCAATAGAACACTTTCTAGAACTCAGCCTGATATATTATTTAATAATTGCATATTTGAAACATTATCAATAAGACTATGAAGTCATGGAGAACAGGGATCATATGAATATAGTACAGGCAATAAAACCCTGTTAATTACAAATATTCTGTACCATTATCCCCCATCCTTGTCAGAATAAGGCTTCCAATAGTTACTTAGAAGCGCATTGTTGGGGGAAGGGTATAACTCAGTGGTAGAGTGCCTGCCTAGCATGCATGAGGTCCTAGGTTCAATCCCCAGTACCGCCAATAAATAAATAAATAAATAAATAAATAAATAAATAAATAAACCCAATTACCTCCCCCACAAACAAAAACAAAAACAAAAACAAAAACAGAAACACATTGTTACTGTACATACAGGGGCCAGCATAAGGCTATGTACACAGTAACCACAGGAGGCATTCAAATATTCATGAAATGTTCATTGGAAAGGAAAATGTGACTGAGTTTTTGTCAATCGGATAAATATTTCTGATCTATTAACACTCAATTTCATCTATTTTGTCTTCTTTTGATAAATATAATATTCAATTATCAATTCCACAGGATATTGAGTTAAAATTTTCCCTTTCCCATCCAAAAATCTATTAATAAAAATAAACGTGAGCTCAAGAAGTTACCTAATTAAAACACTTACAAGGCAAAATTTGTGAAAAGTTAATATTCACTCTCAATGTTACAGTTCTATATGTCTCATTTTCTTAATAAAACATACTTTTGTGTATGAGAGCAAATAATCTTTGATTTTCATATTCTATATTTGAAAGCAGGGACAATTGTTCAGAATCACATTTTTTTTTCACAATTTAGTTTCAAATGCAGTGTAGTTCCTCTTTCTATTTACGTAAGCAGAAAGATTTGCTTTATATAAAAGAATTCAATGAACTGGGGGTTTTTTTTAAGATACATATTTACTTTTCATATACAGGAATTTTCCAGATGACTGGTTGAATTAGTACATTCACATGGTACATTGATCTGGAGTTTTTAAAAAAACTGAACAATAGAAAAGGCTATCTTTTCTTTCCATCTATGGACCTAACTATCAAAGCATCACGTCTGATGCTGCCACAAATTATATAACAGAATGAACGCTGTTCCTTCAAATCAGTCACCTCATCCAATTATTCCAAGGAATTGCCAGTGCTCTAAACTGTGCTGAAAATCTCTTTTGTGTGTGATTTCCTTCAAACCCTGCTGTACATTTTAAAAAATATTGTTAAAAGCAGCAAATCTCTGTCTTTGAGAATGCATGTGGTTTTGGAAACAGAAAAAGTCATTTGGAGGCAAGTTTGGTGAAAAAGAAGAGCCGTCGAGCCGAACGATATAAAGAAGAAATTCAAATGTGTCCACAATCTCACAAGCCAGAGATAACCGCCATCAACATACCGGTACATTTACTTCCAACAGGTTTTTCACGTATACATTTTCACACAAGTGGGACATGCCAGATACGCAGCTCGGACCCTCCCCAATGTGTTCCCCAGTCAACATTCCTATTATTCTCCTTTCATGAGGTTTGGGGAAGCTGAGTAACAGGAAAAGTCATGCTTCGGAGAGTGTTCTAACTTCCAACTTCTTTCAAAACGTGTAGAAGTTGAAAAAGGTGAAGAGGTATACAAAATAAGAATGTTTATATGATTTCCCTGTTCCCTGTTCCTTGGTGATAATATCTTGCAAGAATAATATTTGGGCAAACCACCACGAAGCATGACAAGTGAGAGAGAAACCAAGAGTGAGAGAGAATGAAAAGATGTGGTTTTAACAAAGAATAAAGAGAATGTGGTGTCATCCCCAAGTCAGTCATTTGTGGAGACCCTCTGGGTGTGCGTGGGTGTGTGTGCGTGTGTGTGTGTGTGAGAGAGAGAGAGAGAAGGAGGGAAGGAGGGAAGGAGGAATACAGCTTTCATCACAAATCACAAAAGCTTATTTCCTAGTGCTTTGAAATGAGTAAAATCTCTCAAAATGGAAGAAATGCCACTTGCAGCAGGAATCAGAGAAGGTAGAACCATGGTCTGCATTTACCAGGTCTTTTCCCAAAGTCAGAGGAACCATGCCATGTGTAAGCGTTGTTTTTTTGGCACACAGACTAAAGCCTGTTTTCCAAACTCCAAACCTGATCAATCACTGAGTCCAGTGTGGCCCACCTGCCCCTTGGCCCCTGTGGATCCAGTTCTAGGACTCTCTCCACCTGGATTGTGTCCTGCAAACTTAGAAACAAGAGCTGAAAATGTTCCATCTCCACTTCGTCCCAACAACTGAGACCTTCTCCCCCCACCCAGCAGAAGACAGCAATGCTCCTTGACTTGGTCCCACACAAGTCACCACAGTCTTCATATGAGAGTTGAAATGCCAAAAGATCCCCATTTTTCTCACCCCCCTTTTTCTCTCAGAAACACTTCTTTGTCTGTAGAGCCAGTCTAGCCTGGTGGAGGGAGTGCCAGCTTTAAAACTCAACAAATCCTCCTTTCCCCATTTCCTGACTTCATCAACGCTGGGCAGCGACTTCATCTGCCTCAACATCAACCTCTCTACTGGGATGAAGATGAAGGTAACAGAACATAAAACTATGCCCTGAACAATACATTTGGGAAGATGCTCTGATGCCAAGTCAACCCAACTGAACCGAGGTAAAATCCCATCCTTGAGAGAAGAGAGAAAGCAATAGGCATCAAGAGAGTTCATCGTTGCCGTGTGGTTCCAGAAAGAGCCCTGCCTCTGACCTCTTCTCAGCCCAGCTGGGGCCAAGCCCAGAAAGGGAAGACGGTGGGGAGAAACCCAGCGGGCTTTAAAGACCCAAGTCCCTGTGACCTCAAAGTCCCTTGAGCCCAGCATGAGGGGAAACAGCAGAGCTTAGTAGGAGCTGTGTCAAGGATGAAATCACAGCTCAGTATTGTCTGTGCTCCAGAGAAAGGCAAAAAAGTGGCCAAGGGGGACCCAGACCCAAGGGGCCTCATCAGAACGAGCCGGATGAGGCGGTGCCCCACACATCACGGACTGGAGGCCAGGTGTGAACGAGGAGGCGGGGGAGCATCCTGGGCTGACAGGCGACAACCCACCACACACACCGCCAACCAGCCCCAACCTCAAAATGACTAAGATTAAGTTTCTGCAGCTCTTTGGAATGGGAGCACTAGACAGAAACTGAAATCGAAATTGAGTGCAGTCACAAAAAGTTGTATTGTTTGCAAAGCCTGAAACGAGGACTCACGATACGAATGACACATGAAGGGCCTGTGCATGTGGTAGTCACAATAAACTCTAAGTCTTTCCACGATTGCTATTGACTAGTTATAATATTTCAGTCTGCCTTATTTCTCCTGAGAAGTGGACACACTCACCTTGAGCACTAAAAATAAAGGCACAGCCTAATAGTGTAATAAAAGTTGGAGAACTATTTGATTTTTCTCCATAAGAACCCATCGAGAGATCCCTGCACTCCACACCCTCCCACCTAGAGTAGATTATATTTTTCTTCAGTCAGCGTTCATGCTCCTTGCCCACCCCCCAGGATGGGATCTGCCTCCCCATCGCCTTGACTTTGAGCTTGGCCGCATGGCATGCTTTGGCCAATGGAAAGTGGCACACATGGTAGCTTGCCACCACTAAGAAGAGACTCTAAGAGGCATTGTGTCTTTCCACTTCCTGTCTGGCATTCCTGCCATCTCCATGAGAGAAGGATGCCCCAGGTGGCCATCGCTCCTCCAGCCTGGGTCTCCAACTGAAAAACATACAGGGCAGACTTGAACCTGACCTGGAACTTGGAACCAAGCCTGGTCAAGTCCAGCGGAATCCAGTCAAGTCCAGGTGAACCACAGCTGAGCCTCGGCTGACCTAAAGTCCCATGATGGAGAAATTAACATTTGCTTTCAGAAGCCATTGAAATTTGGAAAAATCGAATACACCATCAACTAAGACCACTCTTCAGCATGTCAAAGTAAGGGGCGCAAAGATGGACAGATGAAACAAGGGCAAGAAAACAGCCTTACAAAATGAGGGGAAATCACCTTTTCAGGAAACTTATCCAACAATGGTCACAAGAGATAGCAAAGCAGTACTGCTAGTGAAGCGGGGGGTGGGGCGAGGGAGGAATAAAGACGTCTGAGAGCCTTCGAGAGAAGGAGTTCAGAGAAACACACTTCTTCACCGTCAGACTCTCTCTTCAACTCTCCACATTTTAAGGAATTTAACTCCCTTCTGAGCATTAAGCTTGGTAAATAAACTTTAATGACATGCAATGAATTCTCCATTGCTAGATCTCCTATTTCTAGTTAAAACGCAGCAGGATGGACTCGGGTTTGCGATTTGGACGGTTCTCATGTAGGTATTTGTCAAAGAACAGATGTTTCTCCACGTGTCACGTGAGATGGGTTAAGTGAGCCCGGGAGGGTATGGCTGATACAGAGCTCTCTCCCCGAGCAGACGGGGGAGTTATAAATTGCTCTGCGGTTTTTCCTCACCCTGTAGTGGCTGAAGTGAAACCTAG